CCACTAACCAGTGTTGCCAACTGCTTATAATCGAAAGTAGCTAAAACTGGTCACTTAATGTTGCTAGATGACCTCGTAAAGGTGAGTTCACTGATCTATATTTATATTTATATAGATCAATGAACTCGCCTTTATGACGTCATGGGAGAGTCTGGGAATGTAGATAACGTTTGTCCAAGAAATTTATTTTGTTGCTGGGTTTTTGAAAAAAGTCTCTAAAGGGACACATCATTGCTCTAACTGTAAATGAGGAGACATACCATTAAACAACACATTAGTAATAATTTGTGATCATTTTGCACAATGCAAAGCATTTAAAAATACATTTAAATTAAAATATTTCAGTCTTAATTAAATGATTTTATTGTAGTTACATTAAATGATTGGTGTTGTGCTGCTGTGACTTCACATGAGCAGGCTCACTATTGGCTGATTCAGAGGTCGAGGTCGGCCATTTTGTGTTGACATCATTGTAGTCCTTAGTTCACAACACTTAAGTGTCACCTCAGTCAACACTTAAGAATCAGTCTTAGACTTTACTGAAAGTTGCTTTTAGCGTCTTTATAAAAGTCTCCTACTCTTAGAAAAGTCCTACTTTTTACTAAGAATTTTTTGACACTTAAGTCAAAGCTTAAGACTATTCTTAAGCGCATTTCTGAGAAGTTTTATACATACAGGCCCAGGGTGCCTAACCTTCCGAAAACCATGTTTGTCCACCAAAACAATTCAAGCTATTATATAAACGACGACTCTGATTTAAGTGGGGGGGGTTTTATTTTCTTGCACTAATATGTGAGCAGTGTTGGGTAAGTTACTCTAAAAAAGTAATTAATCACAGTTACTAATTACAGCTTCAACAGTGTAAGTAGATTACTCTACAAATTACTCTCTCCAAAAAGTATTTAATTACTAATTACTTTCTAAATCCTATATAAACCTCGACAAGTTAATGACACAAGGATAGACATGAAATGGTTCTTTTAATTCTTTCAAGTAACTACATAAATTATTCAGGTCACACTTTAGATTAGGGTCCAATTCTCACTATAAACTAACTATTAACTATGACTTTTGCCTCAAAATACTACTGCTTATTAATACTTAGTAAAATAGTTGTTAAGTTTAAGAATTGGGTAGGATTAAGAATAAGGTCTTGCAGAATAAGACATTAATATGTGTTTTGTAAGTAATAACTAACCAATATCCCAGTAATATGCTAATAACCAGCGTGAAGGGTACATGAAAAGCATGCATTTTAAGGTTAGACTTTACATTTTGATGTTAAATCCACTATTGTATTGTGTATAAATGCTCTACACTTTATACACAGTATTAAGTTAAATTACATAAGACGTAACTGTAATTAAATTACAGGAAAAAAATAAGAGTAATCCCTTACTTTACTTTTTCAAGGGAAAAGTAATTAAATTACAGTAACTAATTACTTAGTAATTAGTTACACCAACACTGTATGTGAGTCCATATAATAACGCTTCCTCCAGTTGAAAATCCCGTCGTCCTTCTCGCATCAAAATTACAAAACATATTTGTAATCGGTACTTGTGCATATCTCTCCTGATTCAGACGAGACAACTTTTTCACTGGAGGAAGCGTTATTATGAATTACGGACTTGTGTTTTAGCTGAAAGCAACATTTTGCAGGTAAAAAATGTCTTTTAAAAAACACAGCTTTTCACTTCACAAGACGTTAACTGATGGATTGGAGTGGTGTGGATTATTGTGATGTTTTTATCAGCTGTTTGGACTCTCATTCTGACGGCACCCATTCACTGCAGAGCATCCACTGATGAGCAAGTGATATTAATGCTACATTTCTCCAAATCTGATGAAGAAACAAACTTATCTCTTGGACGGCCTGAGGGTGAGTAAATGTTCAGCAAATTTTAATTTTCAAAAAATGGGTGACGGTTGCAAATTTGACCTAAATTAAGATGATTAATGTACAAAAAAAAGATCAATTCAGCTATAAAAACAATCATTTTGATAACATGGTGGAATGACTGAGTTTGACAAATGCTGTACATTTTATCAGGGTTGAAGCAAAATCTCCTGTGATAAAACAGCCAAGGTGTTGGACCTAAACAGTACAGGTTTCACAGGTAATGAATGATATCTATCTAAAATCTTCTAAGTATTATGTAAATCTAATGACAAATTCTAATCTACATGCCAGAAGACTAGTAACCGTTCAGCCAGGCCTCACATGATCATTGTCCAGTACTAAACAAGTCAAAAAGTGGAAAAATAAAATAAGAAGATCTTTTGAGATGGGGGTTAAAGTCATTGGATAGAGACATTTGTCTGCAGACAAAGGGTCTTTCAGTCCCTTTCAGGTTTGAGAGGTGTGAACAGTTGCAGGTCGCAGTTTGAGGCTGGAGAGGGTGTGAGGTCTCCATGAGTGCTCAACACCAAAGCCTTAATACTTAGCAAAGACGTGCCAATAAAGTCACTCCTAAGTCTCGCTCTTCTCATGTTCTCAACCAAGTTGCCAGCAGTCTTACTGTGTACTGGATGTACAACAACTTCACTTGTTGTGCTGTCCGTCTTCAAGAGCACTGAGGTCAGACTCGACTGTAAGACACTTGCTGAGGCAGAAGCGAGGAGCTGAATGCAGCACAATGCTGTGGAGCCTGTCTGCGCCTCACTCTGACTTGCACCATTGTTGCTGTGGCGTATTAGACTGATAGATGTGTTGGACACTGGCATTTGCCATTGTGGGTGAAGTTTATTCTGATGTATAGAGGGGAAGAGATGTAAACGCACAGCAAAAGCTATGTCAAAGAGATAGTTCACCCAAAAATGAAAATTCTGCCATCATTTTACTCACATTCTCTACAAACCAGCAGGATTTTTTTTCTTTCTTTAATTTAGAGGGTCTTTTGACTGTTTTTTCGTCCTCAAAATGGGGTCCGAAAGAACATTTCTCACAATACTTTTTTTTAAATATCTTCTTTTGTGCTTCACAGTAAGGTGGAGCACAAACATACAGGTTTGGAATGACATGGAGGTGAACAAATTACGACAAATATTTTTATTTTTGAGTGAATTATCCCTTTAAGATTTTAACGTAAAATGTGTTTATATTAAATCAGTGAATTTCAGCTGGTTTTAATCCAAGACCCAGATGCTACATTTTAAATAAATTTA